AAAGAAGCTTAAGCTTTTTTCCTTGTTTATATTCAGTTTTACGCTATGGAAAAGCTGATGACATTCCCAATTTTCTTTGGCAGAGAAAATAAATAAATAAATACATGTTACACTACATATCCTGACAACTGTGTTGTTTGTGAGTTTTACAGAGTATTAAGTTCTTACAGAGCACTGAAAATTTTGCAGCTAATAACCGTGTATTCCTTGTAGCAGTTATCTTTAACTCATGGGCATGGAAAAAGAGGCATCTGAAGCTCATACTGAGCTGTGAGATCGTGCCCTTGTGAGAGTTCCTGCTGCCCAAGTGTCAACTTCCATGTCCACCAAGACAGAGATAACAAGCTACATTCCCAAAGGCTCTGTACGTATTTTCCTTCTGTAGCAACTTTAAGAGAGCCTGGACTCCAGCAGCGCAGCTCCTAGAAGTACATGTCCCTCTGTAGGTCCCAATCTTTCTAAGCATATGGTGCTTTAAACTCACCATCTACAAGGTCTACTGCCTGGCAAAGCAGAAAAGCTTGAACAGCCATGTGATGTCAGGATTCACACTGCATGTCCACGTTTGTCACATAGCTCTGGTTACAGCACTCTGGTACTATGCTACTGTGGAGGTCAATGGAATTAGTCTCTACAAGGGATGCAGCTCTCAGATGAGATTTCCAATATACAACAGCAGCCTGCCTGGAGCTGCTGAGTCAGGCACAAAGCTGCTGAGACACTGCATTATCAAAATATGTTTGGGGCAGGAGGCTTGTTATCTGCCCGTGGCAGATGAGTGCAGGCACGTTAAGATACTGCATTAAGTTAGTTGGTTATAAGCAAAGCAGAAGAATGATGCTCCAGAGTTATAGGTCTGCTAGAATTGAAGTTTGGATAGTGTGCATTCAGAAATAATTTTATTTTCCAGTAATGACAGTATGTGATATCGAGTAAGAAATGAAATTGAAGAATTGATCTTATTCTTCAAATACAGGATGGCTTCAATATTAAAATTAACATATAAATTTAGCATCAATCTTATTCCCCCACTCACGTCCACATGAAGAATCAATCACAGAAACAGTATTCTGGGAGAATCAAAATCGTTTTTCAAACGTGTCAGCACGAACGCGAGGCGAACCTGTTCACCGGGCGTCCGACAGACGTCGTGGAGGTGGCCCTGGGGCCCCAAGGAGGGCACGTCGGGGCCTCGGGGAGCGCACAGCCAACCGCGGAGCCGCAGGGCGGGACGTGGGGCAGCGCGGCCCCGCGGAGCACAGCGCTGTGTTCCGCTTCTAGCCGCCCCGCGGCGCGGCTGAGCGCAGAGCAGCAGGCAGAGGGGCTTCCTGCGGCGTTCCCGTCTGTGTTGCGTGCACAGGCGGGTGGGTGGTGAGCCGTGAAATCGCCGTCCTGATGGGAGGAGCGCTACAGAGAGGTACCTGGGCTCAGCCGCGCCGCGCACCCGGCGCAGGAACGGCGCCTTGAAATGAGGGTAAGTCCTCTTGCTACAAGTGACTCGTGGACGCGGTATCGCCCCCTAGAAAATAACAAATAAAAGTGAAATAGGGCCTCTAGTTGCAGGACTTCAGCAGAGACCTCACCAGATTCCAGCTAATCTTCTCGATGCTTAAACTCATTCTCTATGGTTTCTGAACACGCAACCAGTACCTCCAGTTTCAACCCTACTTCTTCAGCCATGCATCTTCTCCCTCTTTGAACCACGAGATGAAGCCAGAAAACCCAGGGCTGGGATGTGGTACTGCAGGGACCAGGGCTGGGAAGTGCATGGCCTGAGACAGAAAAGGTGTCCTCGGGAAGGACTACTGAGGCAAAGGAAAAGGTGTGAGAGGGTAGTGCATGTGGGACAGGTGCCAGGAGTGGGATGGGATGGGATGGGATGGGATGGGATGGGATGGGATGGGATGGGATGGGATGGGATGGGATGGGATGGGATGGAACGGTATGTTATGGAATGGGATAGAGCATAGGAGAGCAGGGGTTCCCTCATCTCCCATTTGTCCACACTGTAAGGGCAGGAGGAAGTGGGCATTTCCCACAAGTAAAGACATAAGGAGCAGAACTCCAGTGCCATGGGGTCCTGCCAAAATGCCAAGGGCCCCAGATCCTTGCTGCATGATGAGTGGAAGCTAGAAATGACATCCACATTTAGTGACAATCTGGAAACATATCTGCAAGAACAAAATACATTTTCAGTGGCACCACTGCTGGTCAATCCAATTGGTTTATTTGAGTCAGTTTGGTTGGTTGGTTAGTTTGTTTGTCTGTTGGTTTGTTTAATGGAACTTTTAGATATCCAAAATACTGCAGAAGTTGTACTGCAGACAAACAAGATGTGTTTTTGTTTCTTTGTTTGTTTGTTTGTTGAACATGTTTAGGTTTACTTTATTAAAAAAAAAAAAAAAAGTTATTCTGAATTTAGCAAAAAAATATTTTATGATTCCTGAAAGAACAACTGTTTTAATTTCTGTGCTTTCACAGAAAAATTTACCAGAAGAGATAGAAATCATAGATAATAGAAATCAAGATAGAAAGCAATTATATTGCTAACCCTGCATTTTTCACCTAGTGTGTTTGTAGTAAGAACAGTTTACCCCAGTTTAGCCAAAGGTCATCTTTCTCTGAAAGATATGTCCCAATTCCAAGATGTCAAATTTCTGCTCACTGAAAAGCCAGAGACCACAGTGTGTAAGATCACTATGAGCTGTCGGCTGCCACTGTTTGGTCTTCCTGCTGGAGGTTATTCATCCTCTGTTAGGAAACAAAACAAAACAAAACAAAACAAAACCAAGCAAAACAAAAAACAAAACAAAACAAAAAGCAAAACAAAAACAAACAAAAAAGAAACAAACCAAAAAAAACCAACAGAATTCATTCAACCTGCAAGGACACGTACAGAAAAGTCTCTGCTGAAGGGAAATCTGCCTGGTGCACAAGCTCAAGACCTGAGCTCATGGATCTGTTTGTTCACATCTAGCCTTCTCCTAACCTAACTTCTCTATGATGTCAGAGCACAGAATTTCACTACCTCATCTCTTTCTCTTTGCAAGATCAAGCTTGTTTTACAAGTATCTATTACTTTTCTGTCTGGAGTGTCTTGAAGATGAATTTGTTTACAAGTGCCATTGAGTATGGGCAAATCTGTCAGTACAAAACTGCAGTTCTACATTGATGAAAATTCCAGATGTTCTTACATTTGCATAAGGAACACCATTAATTTTCTTTCCTCCACTCTCCACCTTCCCTTCTCTGCTCTCTAGCATAAAACTACAGATTGCTTTACTGAAGAGATTGCAAAAATATGCAATAAAAAGTGTCTTTCTGATCATTTGTCCCCCAAGAAAAATAAAATCATTATTTATTTTATTCTCCTTCTGCTTGTGCTTGTTCAATATCAATATAAACTGTGGGATTCATTGGGTACACAAACTTTACAAAGTACGAAACGCCGAATGAGAACACAGGCATTCACATTAGCAATGGCACTAGACAACGCCTGACAAATTCTACAGTTTTACAGCCCACTTGCTTCAGATCTCCCCCCTCTAGGGGAACCTTCGCTGGGTTTGAGGAGGAGGGCTGGTCTGTACACCTGGCAAGCCTGCCATCCATTTCATCTACATTGAGAGATGTGCTATTGAAAATCCAGCTGCCAAGCAGACGTGGTCACTTGCAAATGGTTCAAAAAATGGCACAAAAACCTTAACAAACATCTAGGTGGATGATGAATGTTGTGGCATTCATTACCAGAAGCAATTCGTGGTGTTATTCTGACACTGTAGTGTAAGTAAGATAAAAGGGGAATTCATGCATGCAAACATGCAATAAATTGTTCAAGTCATTACTTTTCCAGATGCAGGAAAGTTGCCATTTAACTCAACATTTTTTTAAAGAAAGGGCTGCTATTACATCCTATCTCCTATTTCTGTTTCTATAGCACAGGGAAAAAGATGCTTCTGAAGGGTCAGGAGAGCCAATTTTGTTTTGTTTTGTTTTCGTTGGTTTTTTTTGTTGTTGTTTGTTTGTTTGTTTTTCTGATTACTGCAACTGTAGCTTTACTCTCCTGAACTTAGAAGTGTTTGTAGCACATATCCAAGGACCTAAGCTTCCCTCATGATAACATTTGCTGAGTCTCAGTTTTAAGCTATGAGGCATGAGGGCAGAACCTGGACTGGGAAAAATAGATTTCCTTTGACTGCTATTGCTGGAGCTAGACATTGTTACCCCAGCTGGCAATTAATCAACTCTCTATCCTCAGAAATGCTATTTGCCCAATATAAATGACATAAACCAAGATCATCATCTTAGTTTATTTTTCTAGAGTCCTTAGCATGCTACATTAACCTGACAATGTTTAATCTTGCGTTCATTTCACAACACACTTCATGCAATTCACAGCTGTAATTGGTTTTACACTGACATTACACGTTTCGACCTAGCCATGGGAAAAGAATAACTCGTAAGATTATTTCTCTAAAAAGTGTCCAAGCTCAAACAGTACAGAAGCAGTTCATGCTAGTTCCATGTGCATAATTCTTCTGCCTTTTCTTTCAATGCAAAGATGATGACTGGTCCTTGTTTTAGTCCATCTGCAATTGAACTACTTATGTTTGATTTCTTATGTCCTGAGGAGTTCTCTCTTATAAAACAGCATTCAAGTATTCTAGTTTAATATCCCCAGTTGTCTGAGTTAAGGAACAAAGTAGACCTTGAGCTTCTGTTTCTGCTACGAATCTTCCAGAGTCCCGTAACCGATGGCTGTAAAGTCTTCCTTTGTAGTACACACTCAGAGTTAAAGCCAGAGTATTGCTATTTGGCATTATCCAATGAAGTGCAAGAAATTCAATAAGTTATGTCTTTATTGCTATAGTACAATACCAAGCAAAGTCATCTTTTAATACAATTGCAAGGGTTTCGTAGAGTATATGTCTCTCCTCTTCAGGCCCAGTAGTTCAGCTGCACTGCAAATATCACTTACTTATCGTATGCCAAAAGTCATTCTATGAAGATGTGTTGAGTATTCTCGAGTCTGAAGAATCAGACCTTTCATCATACTCATCTTCTGTGTAAAGAGGTTGCTTAGACACAATAGGACATCCATCATCAGGGATTGAGATCCTAGGATCTTCCGATGAGCGAGAAGGAAGGACAGGAGAGCTTCGGAAGACGCTGGCCGAGTTGCTAGAGAAAGGACTGACGTACTGGGACCGCAGCTGGTACTGCTGCTGCAGCGTCATGGTGTTCCACAGGGTGACGTCATTAGGCAGGAAAGGACTGGACTGGTTTCTTGCCAAAGTGTTCCTCAGCATCAGCGGGTAGCGAGGTGGCTGAGGGAATGGGTGCTGCAAAGGTACGGCCAGAGGATTGGGCACAACATTGCTGGAATCGGCAGAGAACCTCAGCGTGTCGGGGACCCTGAAGGCCGAGCCCACAGACCATTTGGAAGAGGAAATAGGATAGGAACTCAGAGTGTGTTCAAAAATGTGCCCGCTGGAAGGCAGAACTAGACCATCTGACTCGGCAGAAGTTCTCTCCCCGCTGGCCACTGAAGACCGACTGGACAGCAGAACCTCAACAGCGCTCACCAGGTCACCACCACATCCCTTCAGGATCAACTCCAGCACGGTCGGCTTCTGGTTAGGGAAGATCTTTTTCAGCACTTCCAGTGGAGGTCTGTTGGCCTTCAAGCTAAAAGGTAAAGAAACTGTCCCAGAAGGACCTTCTATCAGGAGGTGGTTCTGCTCTGCATGGTACTTGGGGCTCTCTGGACGGCTCTCTGTGCTCCCACCATTCTTCTGCACTGCATAACCAACCTCATCCACTGATACAATTTCTGGGCTTTCAGGAGTGAAGCAGGTTTTGGCTTTAGTCATGTCTGGGGAGCTCCTTTGGTCTGTGTCTTTGTCACTGTAGGTCTCGGCATTGTCTGTTCCACTGGCATCACCCAACCGCTCCTCGCTGATGTCTGCAAAGGAAGGCAGAGAAGTCAACAAAAGCTGAGTCCAAATGGCTTTATGGACACCTGAGGATAGACTCTTCTTATAGGGAACAGAGCAGGCTCCTAGGGAAAAAAAAAGCATTTTTCTGCTAAAATTAAATTCTCTTTGCAACATCACATGAGAACAAAACTACAAAAGAGTAATGTGACATGATATAGGCATTTTATGCTTCTTTACAGTTATCTATCTCACCCTTCCACGTATAAGAAAAGAAGCAGTATGATTTTTTCTCCTGTATCAAATGTGCAACACCAATCCTTTTATCCTTCTTCACTAGTTACAAGACAGCAATGAGCCACACAAGTACAAGTTCTCTCAGAGGAACTTGAGCACTTTCTCTCTGTGATTCCTCAGTTGTGAGATGAAGATATTCAGAGAGATCTTGGAAGACCAAAATTTCCTCTGCAAGCGCAACAGCATTGGTAGAATCACTGCAACACATCTGCTGGCTCAGGGTTTAAGAGCTTTTCATATAAATCAATATATTCCAGTTCTGGTCCTGCAGAAATCAGTTCCTTTCCCAGCAAGAACCACAGGTTTCTCTTCTGAACCTGATCACAGCTGATGCCTTCATTGATTAGAACACAAAATTTAGAAAGAAAAAAAAAATCTGAAAGGACCACTTGAAGGCATCTGGTCCAACTTCCTGCTCAGAGCAGGACCAACCTAAAATTTGGAGCAAATTGTTTTAGCCCCTGCTCAGCTGGGCTTTAAATATTTCTAAGACTGGGTGCTCAGCAACCTCTCTCCGCAGTTGTTTCAGGTTCCTACCTTGCCTTTCATGTGTGAAGCTAAGAAGAGCAAGAGCTGAGCACATGGCTGAGCACAAGCCCTTGGACCTTGCTGTTGCAGGAGGGACACACAAAAAGGGAATGCCCCATTCTCTGATCACATGAGTAAAGCCTGGCCAGAGAATGGAAACCTTTGGAATAAAACTGCTAGTCAGAAAGAAGATAAAAAGATTAATTGCTTTCCCAGTGTATGTGCAAAGGGGGCAATGTATCTGCTTGAGATTATTCGCAGTCACTTGTCCGAGGACGCTGTTCTGCTGACCTCCCTCATGCAGTGCAGTGTTGACTTCTGACAAACTGTTTGTCACCTGGGGAGGGGGACACTATGCAAGCTGATGCAGACAGAGGCTGTGTTCACACAGCAGTGCTTTTGAATGCACAAACGTGAAAGACAGTCTGCAGAAACCAGTGGAAGTACTTGCCTGGTTTCCCAAGCTCACAGTGATCAGTGCAACTAGATACGCCACAAAAAAAGCAAAGGCTTCCAAAATGTGCTCACAGTCACCCCTACCAGACTGAGAGGGAACTAAAGGCATGTAAATGGGAGATCCTTGCTGCTCGCCTCCTGCAGGTCTGCCTCACTGTCTCACTCTGGGAATGGACAGTACATTTCTGGTGCAATTTACCCACTTTCTCACTCTGAGAAACGAGTCAAGGTCTGAGTAAGCTGAGCAGGAAGTCACCATGCTCTCCAGAACGGGAGCTACATTCCTTTGCTGTAAACTATCACCTCCTGGCAGAGCAGAGCAGGCAGTCAGCAAGGCAAAGGGCTGTTCTCTGCTCGAGGCAGGAGCGATAGGCATCCTATAGAGCCGCAGGTGCTGCTGGCTCGGGCAGCAGAGGATGAGAGTGGGAGCAGAGCTGAGGTGCCCTTCTGAGGATCCGCCCTTCTCTCTGAGGTGCACGACTTGTGCTGGGTACCCGTTTTTCAGCTGGTTATGCTCTCCGTCCAGTGCTAATAGAGAAACAGGTATACTGTGTGAGGCAACGTGCATATGAACTTCTTTATGCACTCTGCTTTAGTCTTGCCTTAGCATCCGAGGGGAATGCAGAAAGCAAACAAACCGGTAACATTATCCTTTCGAGAGAATGCTAAGAACTTGCTGTAGCTTTTACATGAAAAATAAAAGAAAATAAAACAAAACAAAACAGGAGGATCATGCTACCTTTCCTTCTTAATCCCCCCACACCTTCATAGCCACACATTTATTACCAGAGAAGGGATGTTAAGAATAATTCACGTCTGAATGAAAGGGCAATTTACACATTCGCAGACGACTAATTGCCTCTGTCCCTGTCGTGCCAGAGACGGAGCGGCATTTAAGCGTCCTAATTTCCACATAGATAGATTGTGCTGAGGTACCTGCGGACCACATGCACGTACTTAGGTCAGAGCTACCGTGCTTTGCAAATGATCGACTGATAACAAGTGTCAAGGGGAGCTAAAAAATATATAAATAATAAGAATAAAACGATAACAATAAAATGGTGTAAGATTTGCTCTCCCTAATGGGAAACGCGCCTGATCATCGAGTTAATGATTATTTTCAAGATCTTTCTGGCTCACCTTCGTTTTCACTGTGTTTAAAGGTATCCTGATGAGGACTGGCATTCTAAAAAACCACCCCTCCTCCCGCAGCCGGTGCCCTCCGCACAGCCCGTGCAAAAATCCTCGCCCCCAGCATCGCTGCGGGACGGCCCGTCGTACAGCACCGCACCGCATCGCTGCTCGCTGAGAGTCACGCCCGGGAAAAGAGATTTGGGCCATTTAAACGAAATGCCATCAGAGCCATCAGAGATCGGGGGGCTGCGAGCTGCCCGCGGAGGGGACGGCCGGAGCCGCCGGGATGGGGCTTTTCTTTTAAAAAGGGCAGAAAACAGTGATCGTTAAATAAGCAGAGGTGTGGGGAGATACATGAGAGACGCCTTTACGTGGGCACAGAACTATGGAAATGTCGCTAGCACGTATTAAACCTGAATATCTATATTCTCAGGTTAAAAATATTTACTTTGTGTTTAGAAATAGAGCCAAACTGCGCTCAACCAAAGGAGTTCTCTCCGCGCGGCGAGACGATGCTGGGGCTTTCAGAGGGCGCCGCCAGTTTTTATGTTCCATTTTGTTGCTGGTGGTGGTGATTTTGTTTGTTTGTTTTGTTTTTAAAGCAGCTTCTATTTCCAATTGCCTCTCTCCACGCATTCACTTTGCCGCCTCAGAGGAAATCGTCTTCCCATTAATGTCAACGATGGGAAAAACATTCAGCAAACGTCAGTCGTGCAGACACACAGCCCGACCTGCCGCTGGAACACACGGAGCGTTGCAAAGGGAGAACAGTGCCTGCGTTCACTGTAGGCTAATAGATGTGAGTTAATCAACTGAGCTGCTGGGAATCTGCAGCAATGCATACCCCAATTTTTCCCTGCATATTTACACATTGAGGATGATGAGGCAAACTTCGTAAAGCAAACAACGCAAAGCAAAGTACCGCGGAGAGAGGGGGAAGCTGCTGTATGCAGATTAATGCATCTCAGGAAAGCCTGCTCTCCTGCTTTAGGTCCCACGTTTGCTCCCTTGATATTCCCACTGCTGAGCCGCTGTGCAATGGCTCTGCTCTCTGCTCGCCATGACAGCCCTATCTCTCTCTGCAGCACGGATTTTCCCTGACCACGAACACACCTGCTATTTTCCCTGCCTCTGTTGTCAGCACGGACTCATACCAGAAATATCAGAAAGCAAGAAAGCTGTCCTAAAAAAATACAAGATGTGGACTTCTCATTCGGGGTCGTTTTGTTGTTGGATCTTTTTTAGTGGCTAAACATTTGCGGGTCAGATTTTTGTAGCCGTTTGGGCAGGTGTCGTTTTTTGGTTCTGTTTCTACAAAAAAAAAAAAAAAAAAAAAAAAAAAAAAAAAAAAAAAGCCTGTCAGCACAGACCTTCTTCCGTCTCCCACCTCGGGTGCTTCCTGGAAGCTGCTGCCCCCAAAGTGCTGCTCTGACCGAAGAGGCTGCTCTGAAACCAGCAGGAGACTCAGCACAGTTCTATTAACTGCTGGCCTTGGTGACTTACTGCTGCCTTAACACACCCTGTGAGACAGAGATACGTGAGCACAGCGTCCAGAGAAGGAGCGTCTCGATGCTGCCGATGCGACAGGAGCCGTCTGTGGGTTATTCACTGGCTTAGAGCAGAACTTTGCGGTGGTCCCACCGCACACGACCCGTTCCGGCAGGAAAACTCTGCTTAAAGCAAACGGGTCCGATCCCATCGCGCACCGGGGACCTTCCTGGAGATCGGTGTCTGAAACCGGGGGAGCAAATAACTGCATCCTCCATTCAGACCGCAATTTTAGCGCAAGTAGTGAGAAAAACCTCTCAGTGCTCGGAACAGCGCACAGCCATCTGCTTAACGGCGCTGGGCGACAAAAGAGCCCTGGAGGAGATAATGTTCTCCTCTCTCGCACCGTTTCCTTTATTCACAGCACGATCTTCCAGCTCGCCCCAAGTTTCCTTTCCCCCGCCCTGGGGCTGATGGATGGAGACTCGTTCGGTC